TAGATATAGATTCTAGGCTTTGCAAAAAAAAATGCTGTGAATATATGAATACACATGAATAAAGACCATTATAACAGTGTCATGTCATGAATATTCAATATTTGATTAAGTATATAGAGAAAAGATTTTTTAACGAGATAAAGGTTCATTTTTATACTTATCAATTTAAAATCTATAATATCTATTTGTCTATCTATCCATCAATATGAATTAATTAAATTAAAAGATCTTTCAAAGTACGTAAATATCTTCTTTTAATAATGTAAGAAATGTTTCAAACTCGGTTTAAATTATATCCAAGGTTAAAGAAAAATTCTTTCTTATAGTTATCTCTCACAAATTTTTTTCTATCACAGTTTATCCATACTTTTTCACTACGAAAAAGTATACGAATATACATTTTGTTACGAATATTACGAATATTAGATTACATTCGAGTATCTTTGATCTTTATCTTTATTAAATTAATCTTTATTAAATCATGCGTAATAATCTTTATTATATTTATGCGTGTTATAAATGCTTCCAAGACGAGCAACTATAAACATGCAACTATGTGATATCGTAAAAAAATCTGCATTATTGATCAATCGAAGGATCAATCAATCGTTGGATGAAATTTTGATGAAACGCTAAATAGATAAAAAATATAATATTTCTATCGATATATCTACCTGTATCGATAGAAAATATACTAAGTAATCATTAAACTATGTATATATAGCAGCAACATAATGGTTGCCTCACACATTATTCACAGATAATTTGTGATAATTTCGCAAACACTCGATAAAAAAATATCAAATATTTACATTGGTCTTAATACGGTTATAGACACTTTTTTGCAAATATATTCACTAAATCTCTGTCTCGTGAGATTTTCTATTTTCTTCTAGAAAAAGTTAGAAAAAGATGGAAATTTACCGACAGCAGCTTACCACTCCAGGCGACAGTAAATCGTTATGTATAATTGAAGTCTGTGCTGTGATAACCTCTCAGGCAATTAAAGGAACGTCACAATTCGTGAATGTTTGTTTTTGAAAATATATCACTACCGGTGGACATCACTTTTAACATATATAACATAAACAGGAAGTTCATATACTACTCTAACACACATTTGGAATATGATCATCTTTTTGGTATTCAAGGTTATCGTAGATATACATACTTAAATGCATTCAAATATCCGTTACAAGATGCGGTAAAAAAATATATATACATTCCCATAAAAAGATATCAAGAAATTAAAGAAAAAACGAAAAAACCTTAAAATACTATCTTTTTCCATATTATTATTGCTTCGAAATAAAGCAAATATATTTGCCTTATTTAAAAACGCCCTGTATATTTATGAAAGTATTCACTCTGCTTTTAGAGCAGCTTTCCATAATAAGGTCATGATATCGTACTTGGATGGTATGAACGAAAGAAAGCGGTTCACGTATATTAGATTCTTACAGGATCACAAATTTATCAGGGTCGTAAGACGAAAAAGCTCGTTGGATAATAACTTGCAATACACTTCTTGATAATAAAAATAACACCACACGTAAAAATTTCTGTACGCTGGAGCGTGCTGTTAGCTACCAACTGTCACTGTACGTTTAAGCCACGACGTGTTATACAGGATCGTATCTATCGTTTCAGGAACCTTCCTGTATACTCGTTCGACTTAACGGAACTCGTCCAAATGATAAAAATATTAATATACCTAAATAAATCCTTAAAAATGGGAAAAATTGTCGTCTCTACTTTACTTTAATTTAAAAGTAAATGAATCTTTTCCTATAAAATTTCTTACTTTCTCACATTCTCAATATCCGTAATAAAATAACCTCATTCGTGAACATAAATTCTATTTGTTTATTAATACATATAATGTACAAACTATACAGAAATAGCAAGCAATTTTTACAAAAAAAAAAAAGATATATATAAATTTATTTTTTTTTTTTTTTTTTTTAAAAA